CCGATTTTAGTGAGTTTTCTAGCCTTAGGGATACCGAGTATGTTTTAGTCTTCTTTATAGTATATAGGTACGGTTCATAGTTTGATAGCAAACCAGTCTTAAGGTTATCTACTAAGCACGCCTCCAACCCAACAATTAAGTTGTAATTTAAATATGAACATAATATCATACGACATACGATTTAATCATAACGTCAGTACAAAATGCCGACTGCGGTTGGTCAGCGCGCGGTCCACTAATTCCCTAATCGAGGCGCTCGCGTGCTTACAGCGCGCCGACGGCGAGTTGACGGCCAGCCGCCAGGCGCCAACGAAACAACGTCGCATCGTAGGTACGTTTTGTTGACTATACTCGTCGTGGCAAAAAGCTTACGGTAGGAATATTCGAAACAACGCTGTGCCGGAGCCGTGCTTTTTAGATGAGCAATGTCCTTTACTGGGACTACTTCTGTTTCCGTTTTATTTTTGGTGTTTTTATTTCCGTTCCGTTTTAGTTTTAAATTCTTTAGTACGCTTTCTGTCATTGTGGGTTTCATGTTTTATTTGTACAGCACCATTATGAGAAGTTCGCTAACAACTGGATAAATATTTGATTCCGCTGTTCTAAATTTACAGCATGCGGTATGCTGCACCACCCTCCCGCCCGTAGCAGGGACGCAGCGCAAAACACACACACGACACGCAACAAACCACCCCCGTCCGCGTTTGCGAACCTGCTTTGCTGCATACCGCATGCTGCAAATTTAATACAGCAGATTAGAAACTAATAATTTATCCAGTTGCTAGCGTATGATACATTTCCGTAAAGTAACGGCTACCAGGCTATTCTGTAACGTTCAATTCGAAAGATCGAAGTGAAGTCGATCACGGTCCGCCACGTCATTGGTTGTGAGAATAATCTCCACCAATGACGGGCGAGAATACGATCGAACTCACTTCGAAAGTTCGAATTAACAGTTACCGAACAGCCTAGCTGATTCTATTCTATATATTAGAGGTTCGGTTATCAAAACCTTTTCCCAATTACTCCCGAAAAGTCATCATCACCTGCTCGTGGTGGTCCACTGCTGTCCATAGCCCGCTCCAATAGCACGCCACTGCCTCAGACTTCAGACAACCCCAGAATGGGTTCCTTTAATTTGGCAGAATCTTGATAGTCCGAATTTTATTTGGCATAACACTTGGCAGAATCTACTTTCATCGACTATTTTAAGACATACCAATTATTTAGCATGACTATTAATTGGCAGAACGTTTACATGTCCGAATTTGCAACGGCATACTTTTAACCTGGCGGAACTTTATTTGGCATAATTACGATTATCATATTTAATATTACACTTAGTTTCGTTTAGCATTATGTTTGTTTAGTTAGAGGGATGGTGATATTTGAGGAGCCGGTTTTTTTTTGCTTGAATTTCATTTTACCGATATCTCACCTATGGCCGACGTTCTTTTTGCTATATATATTATTTGACATATGTTACAAAATAGTATTATGCTAAACATTTTTCGGCGCCTCTGTGTGTGCGCCGAACCTGATGTGGCGGCCGCTCGGGGCACTGCTCACGTTACAGAGGATCATGGCGATCCGAATGATCCGCGGATACCGCACGATCTCCGTTCGAACATCCTTGCCGGATTACCGCCGTGGGATCTGATGTTGCATACCTGCTGCATGTCGCATGCTTGCTGCATGTTGCATACATTCAAAATGATATACCTTAATGGTTACCAAAATGTCAACAGCTTAATATTAGGTATATATTATGGTTTTACTAAATAATTTTGTTTAGAGCTTATGGCACCGAATTCTAACTTATAACTTAGAGGTATATAATTATAGGGTGGATAACCTATCAGTACTAATAATATATTTTTTGCTTTTTACTTTTTGCTTTTTATTTGTCATTACTTTTGGTCCTTTGAAGTCGGATTTTAAACGCAGTTTATATTTATTCTTGTTTGCACATGCAATTTTAATTCTCTATAAGAAGCATCTACACATGTAGATGCTTCTTATAGAGAATTAAAAACCACTTACGATCACAACTGTTTTATTGAGAAAATACATGCAGATATAATGGATCTGCTTTTTGGTGAAATGATAGTTTGCTGCTGTATTATGGACATGACATTTATGCCCAGCGATGATTCGGATTGGACTAACAAAATTATGATTTTCGAATTCATGATAAGTGAGCCGAAGAACTTTTCCGCGAAATTAATATTATGCTATGCTTTGTTATGCAAAATAAAATTATGACGAAAACAGTTCTGCTTTACAATGTTCCCCCAGAATGTTCACCTTGTGATATGCCAGGTGTTCCTCCAGCCGTAGCATTCGTCCGTTATATGTAGCCAGGGTCAGTTCAGTTGGTGTAGTCGGCCTTCGTAGCCCAGAGATTCTTAGCACCTCTTAGCGCTGTTACCATGGCCGCCGACTTGGCTAGGAATAGCGGGCCGATTGAGAACTAAAGGTGTTTTTTATTGGTCGTGCCATTGGAGGTAATGCCCATAATCAGTATGCTGGGCAGGCAGGTTGGTAATCGCAGGGCGTAGCTCCTCACACGAGGGACACTACAACCCGTCACAAGCCTGAAATTTTGCTACGCCTATATCACATGGTTATACCGCCATGTATCGGTCGCCAGAGCCTCGTCCGTTAATCGGCAGGATGCACCACGCGCAGGTGAGGTTGACTGGGGCACTTACAGTCCCCGGTCACATTATTATTACACGCACTCTCATTTTATTCAATAAGTAAGGGTTAACTATCCCCGACAAGTACATTGTTTTCAATTCGAACCAAGATCCAAACAAACCACAAACCAAAACTTAAAACAACAGTGCGTCCAATAATGTGGCCAGGGACTGTAGATGGTGGTGTGCCCCTTACATCCCTCGGGGAATGTTCAGCAGGAAAACTAGAACCATGAATCTCTTCATGACGTTCAATAATTCTAAGCCTAAAACGACAAAGTTTCAGATTTCGATTACCTCGGATTAACCAAGTAGTACTTGCAAAGGTTGATCTTCTTTAATAAGTTCGACTATCGTTCCTTATTTCGTACCGGGATTGTATAACTTTGAGTTTCAATAGTGGCGCTCCGTTTGCCAGATGATAATGTTATGTTGAGTAAATCTATGGAATCTAAGAACGTAGCTTCACCATCTGTATTTTCAGATTTAACGTTGTAAATATTGTGTGAAAAGATAGCTTCAGTCGTCTATACATTTCCGGATACATAATTTCCATCTTTCCTGATTTCATTTGACCACGTGGGCGATATATCGAGTTCAATGTTGTCGACATTGTCATAGTCAGAAATTATTTCAGTCGTGTATTCAATGTTCAATTTCGGGTAAGTTGTCATATGTTTCCTTAATCTTACTTTCAATGTTTGCACTAGGTTAGGCGCCTTTTACCTCACCTTGCGGTTCGTTTTGACGCCCCCCAAGAGATTCGTATTATTACAGGTCTAAACCGGCGACGGTCGACGTAATGTCTTCAAAGCAATGGATGTAAGGAATACGATTGTTTTCGAATATTTAAATTGCACTGAAAAGTTGAAACAATTGAATTTGAAGGAAAAAATATCCAATTCAATAAACAGTTTATTAATGATAGAATAGTGAGTGGCAGATGTAATTTCACCTCGCGACCCGCTCCGCGCGTCTCGCATTTTTCGTGGAACTGTGGCGCAACACGTGTGCGCTATGTCGGACACGTTTTATCTTACGTTTCCGTTCGTTATAGCGCCCCTACCGCAACAGCGCCCGGTGCGATTCCACCACTAGCACCATCCTAGGAACGGCGCTGAGACTGATGATTAGTGAGTTTTCTAGTCCCATACCGGGTATTTTTCAAACGCATATCTTGGTAAGGTTCATGTTTAGGCAGTAAAACAATTTTACCAGTCCTACTTTCGTTTTGGTTTTTTTCGTTTTTAAACGTTACACTTATTTTTACAAATACTAACAGTCACAGTACCCATCCCAAATAAAATCGAGTATACGGTCTTAACCCTGTGCTTGGTGTTGTTTGATTGGCTACTTGAAAGTTTTATAAAACATATTTTCACACACGTGAAAGTTCTGTTACCCACTTAGTGTCGTGACGTCATTACCAGTAACATTACGTATTAACGTGCAATTTAATCGTCATCGTAAGTTGTTTTTTTTTCAAATAAGATTTTATGAGAAAGCATTGTGGCAAGTAGCAAGCCAACAAAATATGTCACATGTTTTAAAATATATTTCTTAAAACTTTCTAGTAGCCAATTGCACAAGGTTCCCTTAGTCGCCTCTTACGACACCCACGGGAAAGGGAGGGGTGGTGGCATTCTTTTTTATTTGCCGGCACCACACGGCAACAGCACCGCATGAATTTATTTCTCTACCAGCACTTAGATTGGATCTCATCTAGATTCATTCTCAATAAGTTGTTGCGGAACAGGCTAACGAAGTACCGTGATATCAACGCCCACCCCTACAGCGGTGGGCGGCAAGGGACTAATGAGCATATATAGCTTTCTGCTTCGTCTCTCATAATAAAAATATTTTGTAACTGAATCGATTTGATGACATCGTAGAATAAACTTTGGGGAAGCGATAAGTTATCAAGAATCGTGACAGATTTTTCAAGGGTAGCCTGCTTATTAACCTTTTCATTAAATTTCTTGTAAATTGTGATTGATAATGTGCTTACAAACGTTGGTATACCTATGTTTATTTTAATTTCATGAGACAATGCAACAACAAAACACTTCGTGAATAATTGTAGGTGGTATTGAGAAAAGTGGCACTCACCTGCATTCCAAATCGGCTCCTACTACTGCGTGCTCCTTGTAGATGTAAATTTAAGCTTTGCTTTTCTTATACTACTAGATTAAGTTCAACCCTAAAACTTTGGATGGATTGATAGACCTTACAAATATCCTTAGAAAAAGTTGTTAATTTAGTGATGAGTTTATAACTTCCTAATTTGAAACAATCGCTCTAATCATCGTCTGATTCTATATTGTCTATTAGTTCATTATCGGCCGCACGTTGTCGTAGTGAATTCAACATTGCCAAGTCGTGGTTATGAAAGGTAATCACAAGTTTTACCCTTTGTCTTCGGCGTCTCCTTTGAGTACCAGATTGATTCCTAGCACTTGGTTCCTCGCCCACTACTGAAACAGCCCTACTTCCACGGCCCCCTTCAGATGATGATTGTTCCTGTAGAAGAAAATCTCTTATTAGAGGTACTAATAAATTAACAATTCGAATTCCTAACCGCCAAAAGGCCGGCAATGCACTTGTACTTAACATATTTAGTTTTGCAGGTGTTCATAACTTGTGCAGATTACTTACCAACAGGTGATTTGAGTACTAGTTTGCCGGCCTATCCCATAAAAAGCGAAATAATATGATAATTGTTACGGTTAGTAAGTTCAAGACTGCCTTGTTGGCCGAGTAGTCGCAAGTGCGACTGCCTCGGCAAGGGGTCTCGGGTTCGATTCCCGGGTCGGGCACACTATTACCGGGTTTTAAAAAAAATCTCAGTAGTAGCAAGGAGTCTGGAATTGTGCCCGGTATATGGCAATAGCCTCACCCCCTATTACATGGGACTCATAACATAAATAGTGAAAAGTATAAGTGGGTGTTATATTGTACAGTGGTATATTATGCACCTCTGCCTACCCCTTTAGGGATTAAAGGCGTGATGTTATGTATTATTCAATTTATGCTTTGAACTATTTTTGTCGGAGCTGCAGCTGTAGCCAAATGCCATTTAGCGCTTGTCTACATGTAGAATAGAAAACCAAATTATATGAAATTGACGTAAATTTTGACATTTGTCAGTGTCATCCCCATACATTTAGTTTTCTACTCTCTCTGTAGACAAGCGCTAAAGTGGCGTTTGGCTAAAGGCACTGGTATCATTTTTGCTCCGTGTAAACCACGAGACGCACGCACACATGCAAGAAATTTTGGAACGTCAGTTTTGTTGCTATTGTATGGTGACGCTCTATCTACATAGACATTATATAATCAAAGAATTATATACATATAAGCTTTTACCCGCGGCTTCGCTCGCGTCACTAAAGGATAAAAAGCCAATGTGACATATACACACAGCGCCATCTATACCAATACTTTTGTTTTCCCTCGGGCATATCAAATTTTTCCGGGATAAAAAGTACCCTATTATTTAATCCGGACTTCTAACTATACATCTGCAAAAATTCAAAGCAATCGGTTTAGTAGTTACGGCGCTAAAATGGAACAAACAAACAAACAAACAAACTCACTTTCCGATTTATAATGTAAGTAAGGATATATATTCGAAATAAATAATACAAAAATTTAGATACTTCTGTTCTGTAATAGTCCTGTTCTGCAGTCGAAGTAACACTTATTTAAGTTTATCGTTTGCAAACGTGTTTTAACACTGATCCCAATAAATCAACTTATGTTTTGTTTTGTTCTAAGTAATTATTGATGTTCAGTGTGAGTTCTTTTTATGTTGACGCGATAGACCCGTTTATGTCGTTCGATACTCTGATTGGCCAGCTCCAATCATCCGACCAATTAGAGGACTTTTTTTAGGAGGGAAAATCTTCGAATGACTTTTCCCGCCTGGGTGAAGCGGGAGGGAGTGTCAGACTCTTACTGACTAAAAACCACCCCGTTCCTTCTCCTGCACTTTGAGTCGCAGCCCCGGTAACGCGTTAGGTTCTCCGCGATTCCGAATCGGCATCGGCCCTATTGGGCCCCATCCGTGGTGGTCTTATGGCTCTTTGAGGCGCGCGCGGAACGCGACTCTCCGTAATTAGAGAGTTAGCTTCTAACAGTGTGAATTTTACGTTTTGTACTCACCAGTTGGCGCTGGTACAGAATAGTGTACCTGCAGTTTAATTTCACCGTTGTCTAATTTCTTGACTAATTTCTAGCCTTTACACCAATTTTATAAGTAGGTTCAATTTGGTATGGTTCAACAATTGTATTACATTTTATAATTTTTGAAACCGAATCTCTGTTGCCTGTTTGTGTAATCGTTCCTAAACACGATGCTAAAAATTCTACTTTTTAAAATCACTTCACTGAACACAGATAAGAGGTATACACACAAAAATCAAAACAAATAATATCAAAATGAACAAAAAAAAACAACATCTAAATCAATATATAGTATATTTTATATTATAAACAAAAGGGAACTTATTATAAATGCAAAACAAAAGTCAATCAAAAGCGTACTTTATCTCATAGAAAGAGAGGAGACACTTGTTTTATAAAGTCATTCACAAACGACTGATTTTTTTATAGGTAATTCTCCTCTTATACTTAATAGCAGTGAGCGTCAACCGCTGAACTACCGTTACAGCACACTAAAGTCGCTTGACTTTTAAAACAAACGTCTCCTATCATTTATTTAACAAAACGAACGTATTACGTTTATAAATAAATAAAATAATGAAATATATTATTATCAAGCATTTTTTGTCTTCACTAGGATTGGCTGAATAGTCCTTAAATAAAAACAATATACATATTAAAAAATATGTACTCATAACATAAAATATTAGGCCCAAAACAACAAAAAATGCTATAAAATTAAATTAAAAATTAAAAATGGTGGCAAGAATACATTAAACTCAAACAAATCATGATAATATAATATACCTACAACATATTTTATTATAACTAAATAATTATGCAAATAAATAAAACATCGTTGTTATGAAATGCAAACTTTGGCTTGAGTTTAAGGCTCTTCCACCTTACAAAAACCTAACTAATATTTCGGATATAAAAAATAATATAACAAAAATAATCAAATTTAAAAAAAACATCTGAAAATCTATCATCTCTTTATATGACAATTATGAACTGTCTTGTAATTTATATTCAAAATGTAAGTAATACCTACTTCAACCGATTTGTTATTTAAGTCAATATTTTAGAACAAAATCTATTAAATGAATCATTTAAACTACGACCTGATTGGCTGTATATTGTAAAAATATATTTAATTATTCAGTTCGTTCCTACTTTGACAAAATTAACGACTTTTATAAAGTTATCTCCAAATATCAGCAACAGGTGGTGGAAATTTGCAACACTAGCGACCTCTAGGACACGTGGTTGGTAAGCGACGGCGACAAGAGCGCAACAGTGAGACACATTTAAAAAAACTGGGTATTTTCCATGGTCGAAAGTATTTGTTTCGACATTTTCCAATACAATAAAATATTTAATTCATAAACCTACTTCATTTTTTATTTTTTTAGGTATCTTTTAAGAAATACTTAGTATTTGATGTTTTTGACAATTCGAATTAAGAATAGTTAGAAAATACCCAATTATGTATCAGAATCTTGCCACCGTCCTACCCAGCTACATCTTTATCTCGCAGATTCTCATCAGTATACATCTCGATAGTATGCAGCCCTACCAAATCTTTCCGCAGGTCACAGCCCTAGTACTCATCTCTGTGTCAAGCTCCTCTGGATTTACTTAGTTGTCAGGGTCGTCCCATAGCAACAAACTTGTCTGCAAGTAATTGATATCTATTTTAGGAAACATGTAAACGAGATAGCATTGCTATCTAAGGTTGAAGCTGTCGATCCTAACTGCTTTAAGAACTTCGTGTATGGCGTCTCGAAGTGTTATTATTTCGAGTTATTTATTGGGATCTTTACTCAATACTTGATAATTTATCTGAATCAAAAACTTGGAATTTAAGTAAAACCTTAAATATTTGTAAAATTTCAACTGATAAATAAATTGAGCTCGTATTATTTAAGTCCTGGTTAAGATATTACTAAAAATAGGTAGATACTGCCCGTTTAGAAGATCCTTTCAAAAATCATCAAAGCTTTCAAAAATGTTTGAGGAGGTAGTTACGAATTATCTTGTTCTCAGACTTTAATCCGGTTCAGTAAAACGTAAATATCCAGAAAAGTCGTACAACACTTTGATCGATAGTAAAAAGAATTGGTAATTTAAATACAATATAATAAATCACAGTAATAACTCTCACTTACCAATCCGCTTTGAGCAAGCGTGATGGTTGGTGATGATGGTACTCAAACCTTCTCCGTGCAAGAAGAGGCGTTTGGTCAGCAGTAGCCATTTTTTTTATATCAGATTTCATTTGGATTTGAAAGAGCATAATGTCTTTACTGCCAATTTTATTGTATGCCAATATTACTATTCTATGATCAAATATCGTGTTAATTTATATTACAACACGATTAACAGAATCCATCACTTATAAATAGAAATATGAGAGTGTCGTATTGTGAACCTGATTGGAAAAGAGTACCTATGGAGTAACCTATGTAGCTTCTAGCTCGTTCTTCTCCATAGGAATCTACACCTTGGAATGAGCAAATGGCTTCACTTTTAAATTTCTATTGCTGACGTTCAAAAGTGACTTCCTGGTCTAATTGAAATAAATGATTTTGACTTTGTATCATTATTTTACAAATTGACAGTTTACTGAACCGAATTAAAAGTCTCAGGAAAGGACGTTAAAAAAAAGGCGGACACAATCTCTTGAAACAACGACTTTGGCTGCTATAGAATTTACACCCAGACCATACACACATTGACACGAAGGATATTTGGGTAGTGTCATTTTCTTAAGTCTGGTAACTTGGTAACCCATTACACACGCACACAAAGTGCTCCAATCATTCCTAAGTCACATTCTGTCCACCTTTTTCAACGTCCTTGGTCTCAGGTTGATATTGACTTGTTTCAATAGATTGGTACTAACCTCTTCAGTCCTCTGTTCCGTAGTGTCAGGTTGGTCTGTCGATGCAGGTGTTCGCGAAACGATTCGGTTTCTGCGCCTCAGAACAGCTTTGAGCGACCATATAGCAATGCTATACAGTATCAGTACCATCACCAGTATGATAATCATCGACACCACAGCCTTTGAAAATAATAACACAATTAGACAATAATAGATAACTTAAAATAAAATGAGGATGGTAATACGTCAGACGTCAGACGTCAGATGTGATCATTTTCATCTTCCCCTAATCGGGGGAAAAATACTTTACTTCCCTTTCTTAAAGAAAGTAGAATTAGGTTATGCCGTCACGTCGGCGACGCTTAAGTAAAAAAAAATTCTCACCCAGAATACTGAATATCCACCCATCGTAACTCTTCAGGCTGACTGTATCCAATACGAAAGCATGGCAATAAAAAAAGGTAATTTAAGTAATAAGTTATTACCAATTCATCATCATCATCATCAGACAACAGACGTACTCGGAGTTAAATTTTGTCTAGAAGTCTAAATAGATGGCTGTATCTTAAGATTTTATTGATTAAAACTGGTAGAAGAAAAGGGTTAATTACCATTATAAGACTCGTGTTACGTGTCTGATACACGCAATCACACCTCGGGCAAAACAAATACAGTTTTCCTTCAAGTTCTTCTCTAATGAAAGGGAACACAACTTCCTCGCAGTTGCTGTGGACAAATTGAACCACTTACAATAGAATGTAAGTGTGGGAGTGCCACACTTCTGCACGAAAGGGCCGGCTCGACCGGAGTGATACCACAGCCTCACAGAAAACCGACGTGAAGCAACGCTTGCGTTGTGTTTCGTCGTTTGAGTGAGGTTACCGGAGGCCCAATTACCCCCCACCCCTTCTCCGATCTCCCCAATTCCTGAATCCCCAACGATCCTCAAACTCTTAGTGCCCAAAAGACCAGTAACGCACTTGTAACGCTTTTGGTGTTTCAGGTGATGGGCGACGCCGATTGCTTACCATCAGGTGATCTGTGTCCTCGTTTACCGGCTTATATCATAAAAAACCACTAATAATATGTGCTCGACAGATTTATTGTTTGGCAATCATGCTTACGATAAACCTGCAGATAAAGCAGTAGTTGAAAAACTTTCGAGCATAGCTTGCAACCTCTTCAACCTCATAAAAACGCTCACATTACGTTGCCTGGCAACGCACTTATACTTAAAAAACCAAAACCTTGAAATATTGCTTGACTCGGAAATCGAACCGGGCACTGCGCTCCATTGATTAGGCCCAATTACCCTCCCCTTCCCCAATATCCCCAATCCCTGAATCCCCAACGGTCCTCAAACTCCTAGTCCCCAAAAGGCCGGTAACGCACTTATAACGCCTCTGGTATTCCGGGTGTCCATGGGCGGCGCCGATTGCTTACCATCAGGTGATCCGTCTGCTTGTTTACCGGCTTATGCCATAAGAAAAAATCGATGTACCAGGGTACTTACCGAGGCGGAGTGCTAAAGTAAGTAAGTAAGTGAGACCTCCTATCCCAAAAAAATTAAAGACAGGTATGTACTTACCACTGGTTAGGAGGTACGTTCCCAGTATAGATCTGCCGTGTGGTCGAGGTGTTTAGAACTGCAGCGGGGCTTGGACACACGCACCGACAACGACGATCCTCAAAGAATTGCGCCTACGAAAAAGAATACCCCGGTTATTGAAAATATCTCAATCATCTTTGTTCTATAAATAGACCATCTCACACGAGGGAGGTAGCGGCTCCCCCAGGTAAACGTATCGATCAATAAAACTCTTGTCTATTTATAATTTGTTGATATCAAATAATTTTATTATATTCAGCAACGAAATGACAAAGGACCCAACGCTAACTAATGAGGTCATATTTATCCGGAAGACGCGCGACGCGAACAGGGTGGGGTTGCACGGCGCATCTGGGACGCGCTGCATGGGGTCATCAATATCTGCGCTATCGATTACTTCCGTAACAAAGGACCTCAGGTAAAACGTACCGAATTTGTATGAAAATCTTTTAAAACACTCCGATAATGTCTTGTCGCCACCAAACTGAACACTGAACACAAGAATTACGCGCGATAAAGAATAAAAATGAAAGGAGAATGTTCACGTAACTATGGAATTTCGTCTTACGTTGTTGCACAATAAATCTTTATTTATTATAGACCATGCTTATTATATTATCGAATAAAAGCGTTCATTTTCCCATAAATATCCGGGTTTTTAAGTAATTAGACAAAAACGAAAATAACCTAAAATTATGTTTAAACTGTCAAACACCGTGCGGTTACCGGTGACCGCAACCTATTGTTCTTTAATTGTGTCTATAGATGATGACGGTACTCAACGAGTTGACTTCTCGCAACGTATAAAATAACCACAGATCTGACAGATCACTCATATAGGTACAACAATTAAAACACACAAGAAATAAAAATAAAACAAGTCACCAGCTTCTATTTGTAAAAAAAACAACAACTTCATTCAGATTGTTTATTAGGTTTAACTTATCTCAGGGCTATAAAACATAATTATGAACATTTCATGTAGGTAATCAATATTCAATGTAGAACAAGTACTTGTATTTTGGAGACTCGTTTGCCAAAGAAAAAAAAAAAAAGTACTTGTATTTTAGATGTCCTACATACATATATAACATGAAATAGAATTGTGTTAGGTATATAATACCTTAGTTATTCCTCATACTCCATGAAATAATCGTCTAAATACGAAGCTGGAGCAGTTATATCATTATAGCGCCCCCAGCTCAAAAACCAAACTATAGTCATTATATGAGCGCAACAGCCCACAGTTCTTTTTCCTACCAGACAGCTGCATGAGTAGCCGACAATCGCGTCTAATGTATTAGCCACAGCATCATCTTTGCTAATTAATAAGTAGGTAAAATAGGTGCGACTACTTATGTGTCTCGATTTAATCCTGCCTCTCAATAGATAGTTATTATATCCCAAAATCAGAGGTATATCATCCTCAATCACGTCATTTACTTCTACATGATACGTACCAGTCCGACGGACATGTTCCCCATAGTACGATCTGGCTTGTTTAAGTTGATAGGTACCCAGTGCAAATTGCTTTAAATCATTAATTGATAGTCGGGGAAACCTATTTAAATGTGGATTAATGTGATCAATCATTTGAAAATTCGTTCTCCTTCTATTCAGATTTTCTTGTTCTACATATATTGCTAAATGGTTTTCAAGCTCAAGCCTATTTTTTGCTATTCTAACATACTCTGCAGCCTCTGGTGGATCCTGTATGGATACATGGAACATGTTTGTTAGTGCACAACATATTCTAAAATCGTCCTTTAGATGCAAAGCAGCACGATTATTATATACATGTCGAAAGAGTCTAAAGTCCCTTTTAATTCTCCCATTAACGACTTCTACAACCCAACGACACATAGTTACAAAACGAGACCGATTTGCTTGCTGGGTTGTCAACTGATGTTCGTTTTCTAATAAAGATTCTGGCATGTGTGTCACAAAACCACATTCTTGTAATTCATTTATGACATCCCTGAAACCTCTGTCAAGTATAAAGATGTCGCCTGTCCGGAAAAATGTTCTTATACCAGACTCCTCATTACGAAGATTCAAACTAGTAATCGTAGCATCATTAGTGGTTGCTTTATAGGGCCCTAAACAATCTATTATGTGACCATCACAACATACTATCATAAATGGCTTTACTAAATTATCTAGTTTCTGCAAACTATAAGTCTGTTTTTGAAATAAATAATTAGTGCTACTCTGCATAAATACATATGTTGCATCACACATGACTATTGCCGGTTTGGTATTTGGGGGAAAATCTGGATTGCCAAATAATCCTTCAGGGATTATTCTATTTCTAGAAGCAACATCTTCTATGGTTAGATGATTAAATCCTAAATGCATCGGTACAAACTGTCTAGTTAGACACTCTCTAGCTGCATTCATCCAGCGTTCTAAGGTAGTTCGAGATTTCTCGAAAAGTGTTGCCAATCTTTCGTTACTATCACCTGTTCGCAGTTTAACTAAATACATAGACAAAGCAATAGTGGCATTAGGTACAGAGTCTGACAGACTTGGAATAGAATTTAATAAATCATGAAATTGATTAGAAGTCATACCTAACCAGTAATGACATAAATATGCCGGCATAGTTGCAATATTCGAAAAATCAATGTGGTATTTGGCAGCTCGCTGCAACATGTTTAAAATGTTATCAAACTGTGTACCAGTAAAATCTCTTAGCCGGGAGGTTAATTCATTCCAGTGACCATGATTTAAATGATAATTGCAAATTCGTGCTCCGGGTGGTACATAGAACCTATGATTTAAAAGTAAAAGATCCTTAATAGCAGCAGGAATCAGTAAACGTTCTGGTTCAAAACAGTCAACAAATATACAATGACTAGCTGTATTAGCACCACGTCTGTACACAGATGAAGTTATTTTATCCCTTGTTGGAGAAGGTTCCCAGACATGTTGCGGAAGGGGTGGTGGTACAGGTACATTAAAATCTCCACTCGTTCCCACATCTGGCAGAGTGGGGCGATTAGAGTCTAATTGATTTTGACGTCTCACTTCTCTATAAGCTGCCATCCAACAAGAACTACATACTCTTTCCAATCTTGAAACCTAAAAAGAACAAATTGAAATACATGAACTCAGTATAATTGATTAGAATAAAACATTAAAATAATAAGTATGCAATATCAGCACTAATACAATATTATTATTAGTGAGTGAAATATCAGTATAAGTCTAGTGTATGTTCAAATTCAAATACTTTTAAACCCAACACAACTACTGGCTTTGACACACCGCCAACCTTACTCACTCACACAACATGCAGTTATATATTACTGCAGTTTTGCAAGGTGAAATTCCCCAAGAATGAAATCTAGCATTATAGAAATATATGCAAGTCCAAAATACATACCAAGTGCAGTGGAACATTTCTTAATATAACATTCCTTTCTTGGCGGTCAGATCGCACAGTATATGTTCTTGATGCACGTAAAATAGACAATCCACAAGAAAAACATACACTTCTGTGACCAAGAGCAGGCAATGGGAAAGCATTTTCAGGTACAATGAATGTGTTTGCTCGATCTTGGAGTAACACCATACACTCTGTACAAAGTACACTTTCAGATGAAAGCTGAAATAAAAAAAAATATTTTTAATTCTGATGTTATCCTGGAATATTTTACCCAGGCTTGACACCAGTATAGTAACTTAACTCTTTGAGTACCGTAATGACGGTGTAATGAAGAGTGTAATAAAGTGGAAAAGAGTTTTTCTTCGTTCTATCATAGATATATCATTGATAGACACAATTAAAGAATAAGTTGAGGTCACCGGTGACCGCTCGGTGTTTGACAGTTTAAGTATATAACAGAGCTCACTGTGTTACCTACGTATATAAACTGTACACTTACTCTATAAAAAGTTTTTTCAAATTGGTTCCGTTGTGCTGGAGATGAGTGTTTAAACAAAGAAAAATTCTTTTCCACTTTATTATATTAATATGAATATAATGTAAATCAACAGTATATTAGTTATTAGCTTGAATGAGATGGCACTCTGACCTTATTTAATATATGTACTTACTATGTATGATTAACAATTAACTATGTAAAATAAAGAGATTTACATTTCTTCACTAATCATAAAAATATAAGTTAAATGGTGCCCTATAACGTTAGCTGGTTAAAGTACAGGATGGTAGCAAGTCTGGTAACCAAGAAGTACTTAATAAAATGAAGCTTACCTCAGTGGGAGTTATCCAAGATTGTAAAATGGTAATCATCGTAGCAGACGCTTGTTGCAAGGAATGCTCCTGGTGATTTCTGGGTATCAAAAGCGAACAATTGACACATCGGCTTCTCCTCCTTACCATCGGTATCGTTTGATCAGGGTCAAGCATCGACATGATTACTTAAAGTAGGTACACTCAAGAGTTCATTCACACAGCACTTCAAACGTCCTGGCGTAATAAAACAATAACTAAATATAAAAACGTCTTGTCGTATACTACATTAGTTGTAATGTAGTATACGCATAAAACGTTTTGGCGTATATAAAACTTAACTAAACACAAAAACGTCTTGTCGTATGCTACATGGAACTCACGCTTATTTATTCAAAAGTTCAAAACAAACACTCAAACAGTGAAACAGAAACAGTTTTCCTTCCAATCCAAATGCCGCCACTCTGTCTGTCACATGTTATGACAGTTGCTTCTGCGTGAGACGGAACACAAAAATAATTATAATTGTAACAATACTACAAAATACTAAATAAATACATTGTAAAATGTATTGATTTTACAAATTATTTAGCTATTTATTGAAGTTGATATAATTTTTGTGATGATTTTGCCGAAAGGTTCTACTTACGTGATTCGTAAACAAGAAGTTTTATTCGTAAGTTAGCACGGAACGTCAATGTCCTTGAAACGGAAATTCCATAGCAATTTTTATGTTACTATTAATCTTATCATCATAATTCCGGATACGAATATACAATTCCTGAAGTGAAAAGGTTGTAAAAAATAAGAAAATTATTTCTATATTATTTTGATTTTTCAACTTGAAACTTTGCTAGACTGCTTTTGGTCAATCTCCTTGGGATATCCTTG